AACTTTGCTGGAGTTTTTACATTGCCTCTATAGATATAATTAAGGCTTTTTGTCTATGACGATAAATTTTGTTATAAGCTTTAAATAACTTCATTAATACATTCTAAATTTCTAGTTATGGTATGCAAAATGGAAACAATAAAGAATTTCAAATTTCCTACAATTTTTGCTAACAAAAAGGAATAAATACTGAGAATAAATTAAGCACAAAGTCGCCACCTGATATATTTGGGTGTATTATACGACGTGTAGTTTTTGTTTCATTAGTATTTGATAATATATATATAGTGTGTGTTTTAAACCGTTTTACCCACAACTAGAGTGGGTAACATTCAGTAAAACATGAATAATAACCTATTATGTTTGGTAGGATAAATAGAAAAGGTTATTTCATATCGTTATTTTTAAGAACTTAAAAGCTTCTTCGCTTTCACAGCTTTCAGACAACTTGTCACCCTTTTGTGCTCAAATTGGAAACGTAATTTTAACTGTCGTATATGTATGTACTAGTTCTGTTTCAGCGTCTGATTTACAAAAACGTCCTCTTTTCTTTATCGTAACAGTGTTGTCATGCAGGTTGATGTCTGTCAGAGATTGTAGTTAATCAGGTGGGAGCCCTAAACGAAGAAAGGAAGCAGTGTCCTTAAAAGTCGAAAATAAAATCATGGTTTGACTTTAATGAAAGAAGTATATGAGTAATGTATGGATTTATAGTTCATGAAGTGTGAAAGAGTTGGGATCACTCTTGGAAGACACTAATCTGTATTGTTAAGAAATACCTAATGGAAGACACTAATCTGTATTGTTAAGAAATACCTAATGGAAGACACTAATGTGTATTGTTAAGAAATACCTAATGGAAGACACTAATCTGTATTGTTAAGAAATACCTAATGGAAGACACTAATCTGTATTGTTAAGAAATACCTAATGGAAGACCGTAATCTATATTGTTAAGAAATACCTAATGGAAGACACTAATCTGTATTGTTAAGAAATACCTAATGGAAGACACTAATCTGTATTGTTAAGAAATACCTAATGGAAGACCCTAATCTGTATTGTTAGGGAAGAACTAATGGAAGACACTGATCGTTTAACAATCTTTGGTGCCAAAATAACTTGATGCTCTGACGTTGTATTTCTACGTATACATAGGACTTAATAAAAAGCCAACGTAAGTTTTAAGTCAAAGTAAACATATCAATTATATGTTTGTTCTAAATGACTGAGATGCGTACGTAAAATGAAAATTGAATTCAGAAAGCAACACAGTCTGTGTTAAAATGCTATTTTATTTTAATGGTATAATATGACACGAGATAAGTTTGTGTATATAAACTGTTCCAAGTAAAATGAAACGGTGAGATTTGCTGCTACATCAGAGAAACTATATCTGGCAAGGTGTAACAACATTTTTTTCCTGCCTGTAGTTTACTCAATCGTTCTGAATTTCAATTTTCATGTATAAAACCTTGAATAAAGCTGAGCTGTGGATCATATTCTTAAACTGTAAAATACTCGCAAAAATTGATTCAATGTAGCAATGCAATAAGATATGTAAAAACATTTGTGAGTTATGTTAATTATGTATACAAATCTATTATCTATTAATATATGGATGTACAAATGGGTTAAAAAACTATAGGAATTTTTAACCAAACAGATTTTTACCATAGAGTAGGAATATAATCGTGTGTCTGATTGTATGGAAAATGCTAAATCACTTGCTCAAAGTTAATATTAACATCTTATCTTCCAGGTTATTAGCACAATAAGTCAATCACACCCAGCAACTTTTTAACTCCTCACAATGATATTCCAAAGTTATCATTTACGAATACATTTATACGCTTTGTGCACTGTTTACGGGAGTGGCTTGGTCATAAACACGAGCATGACAGGCATTTTTTTGTAAGATTTCTTCCTGGCTTTATAATTCCTTAGGACTTTTTGGTAGTGGCTCTCTCTGGTGGTAGGTACGTGACCAAAATACGAAACCTGAACAACGTATTCAGATTTAGTAAATATATCTAAAAAAGTTTGTGAGGATGTGGCTTTTTATACTAGTAATACTTTATCTAATAATACTCTATCTGTAATACTTTATCTAATAATACACTATCTGTAATACTCTATCTAATAATACTCTATCTAATAATACTCTATCTAATAATACTCTATCTGTAATACTCTATCTACTAATACTCTATCTAACGCCCTTCCTCTCTTGCTTCTTAATCGAAACTGGTTGAGTTACTATTCGTTTAAGACTGTTTCTGTTTTTCTCAGTGCATCCGATGTTTGCTCTTTGGTCTGCAGGACGAAATCAGGGAATAAACCACTACAGCTAAAACATTGCCAATAGCTACTCTCAGTTAATGGTACTATTATAAAGATAAATAACGTCATTTGGAAAAGTAAGACAACAGTTTTCATAATGCATTAGATTCAGTTTGTAGTCTCTAATCACTTTACTCGTCCTATGGAGGAGCCATCTTCCTAGAGGGAAAGATAAAACACAAGGAAATGTACATATAATGTAGGAAAATATTAAACTATTGTTCATTTCAGGCATTATGGGAAACGTTTGAGATATTCCTTTGTAGTTTTATGTACTAGTTTGGTATAATTGACATGTATTTAGTGTTGGAGAAAGGGAGCGTTTCAAAAGTTATTAATTATTCGATCACCTCAGTTGACTTAAAAACAAACAAACTTAGTCTAGAAGCCCGTTTGGATTTTTATCGTGTCATAGTTTTATATTATATTGTTTGTATTTGTAAAATGATGCCACTTCTTTCCTGACAGCAGGATGTAGCTTGATTTATGATTACTGATCCGTAGAGCACGCAGTGCAACAGTTGTTGTCTCTATGTCGTGGTAGATCTTATAAACACCAAAAGAAAAATAGTAGAGATCTCTGCATAGATTATAACCACCGTATGTCTTACATTGCATACAAAGGAGGCTGATATTGTACTATGGGCTTAAGAATGAATGCTTGTTCAACTAACATTTATACTTAAATTAAAATGATAAACTCTTTAGTATGACTTCTAGAGGTACACCCATCTTATTAATATCACTGCACATGTTTTCAAAACGTGGAATCAGACGTAATATATATATATAATATTCGTACAACCATCTGGCAATTATATTCAGTGGAAAAAATGTAATATTCTAACAATTTAAACTGTGTACAGTACTGAAAGGTTTTATTTATGTTTATTCCACTAGAAAGTTTATAAACTGATAGGAAACGTCTATTCAGTGGAATTGTTGTACTGAGACGTCTGTTTAATGGGATTGTCTGCACTGATACATCTGTTTAATGGGATTGTCTGCACTGAAACGACTGTTTAATGGGATTGTATGTACTGATACATATGTTTAATGGGATTGTCTGTACTGATATATCTGTTTAATGGGATTGTCTGCACTGATACACCTGTTTAATGGGATTGTCTGCACTGAAACGACTGTTTAATGAGATTGTATGTACTGATATATATGTTTAATGGGATTGTCTGTACTGATATATCTGTTTAATGGGATTGTGTGTACTGATACATATGTTTAATGGGATTGTCTGTACTGATATATCTGTTTAATGGGATTGTATGTACTGATACATCTGTTTAATGAGATTGTCTGTACTGGAACTTTGTCTATAAATGGGAAAAACATGAAGAATAAATTGCACGCCTATATCAACCATATTTGTGGTATAAAAACCTAATTGATACTAAAAGAATTTCAGAACAGATTGCATTATAAAATAAAATTACTGTTGAATTTTCCTGGAAGTGCACTGGACCGAAAATCTGTCCTTCCAGAATTTAAATTTACATTGTTACGTTTTGAGCGTTTATACTGTATATACATATATATTCATAATAACTCTCTCTTACTTTTACTATTAATGTAAATGAATATCAAAACAAATAACTATAAGTCGTGGGTATGAAAATTAAAGATCCCTTTATCATTAGTCTTTTGTGAAGCAAACACCAACTGGTATAATTTCACACATCAGTAAAGAGATAACCTTCTAATTTTACAGATACAATCTATCATAGTAATAAAGCGACTGCTGTAGATTTTTATGTATACTACTTACTAATTAAGTATAGTACCAAAGTCAAAACTCAATTTTTATGGCGTCACTTTGAAAAAAACAAAACTGTTTGAACATATATGTTACTTATAAATAGGAAAAAAATATACTAAAAGTTGTTTTTTAAAATGTATATTTTGTTATGTTGAATAGTACATCCACATAAGAATTATAAACTAACTTGTTTGTTCTGTCATTGTTTAACACCGATAGGAACAAATGCAGATGCAGTAAGATAAGATATGAAAATACAAAGAAATGGTTAAAATTATGTTTGATCGATGTTAACCTGCAGATACAAGTGTAAGTCGTTTGTCCGGAAAGTTAATCAAGCAATTCCTTGCTTCTGGTACAGTGATGTAACCATGTTTGTATTTTTAAATTACTATTTAGAGCAAAATATAAAGCATATCATCTGATACACTTTTCTTATATGTATGCATCTGCAATTGGTGTGTAAACACACACGTCATTATCATATACTTAGTACACGTGTTTGTTATGTTTAGATTCAATTAAAATGTAAGTATGTATAAATCAAATTATATTTACATACACATATTTCTTGATAATGAACTGATACATAGACTGAGTTTACAACATACTGTGATTTATTGAAATACATGTGCAAATGCATATAGAAGAAAGCACAGATGGTGAAATAAGTTACTTATAATGAAACAATATCTACAGCGACGATTTTATAACTGGGTCCATTTAAAAGTTCGAGGTTTTTCAAAATGATCAGGATGAAAATATAAAAATAAGCAATAGCACTGTACATGCTGTTTATGTTTATAAACGACTACTATCGTCAACTTTTCTAGTTATTTTAGATGTTCAAGAAGCAAAATCTTTCAAACATGTCAACGTTGCTTTGACAAAGAGAACGACTCTAATTGAAATATTTATGTTAGGTATGAGTGTGCAGGGAAGAAAAAAAAATTAAAATTAGAGTAATTCTTAAAATTATTACTAATATTATATTCTTTGTAGATTCAAGTTCAGCACATACCAAATGAAATTTGGTTTTATCATACAAAAACACGTACACACATATACATACATATTCATATATAAATACATAATAAATTTAAATTGTCGGTAGCAATTTTTTTCCGCTTGGTCCACATAGTCTTAACAAGAGATCACTGTTTCATCAAAACAATGTTCTCAAGCTTCCAAATTCTCTTTCTTTAACGGCTAGGTACTGAATTAATTCCTCTAATTTTGTAATTTAATGAAATTTGCCAGCAGTTTATTTTTTAACTTGGCTATCAGATGCTTAAATCGCTCTTAGCACTGTTATTGTGATTAGGTTTTGTTCTATTTTTACGATAACTTGCTAGCTGGTTCATTAAATTTCGGTAGCATTGTTACTGTGTATATTTAGATTGCTACATTACGGATACTAGCTGGCAGGTTCCACAATTCTCTAGTAGTATTGTTGCTGTATCTGTGTTTTGTAGTATTATTAGTACTCACTAACATATTCCCTAAGTCGCTGGTAACACTGTTGCCATGGAAATGTTGTTTATAATATTATGAAACTCGTTAGTATGTGCCATAATTTGCTGTTGGCTGTCTATACCTTTTATTGTTATAATTACAAATGTCCGCTTCGCTATCGCTAGCAGGTTCCCTTAGTTGCTGGTAATACTGTTGCTGCGGAAACGCCTGACAGAGTTATCCTAGTTACCATTTTTCGCTCGTGGCACGTAGAAGTTATTTCTGGGTTAACAGTTTCCGATGGAATGAGACCTTCTTTCATTCTTTTCTTCTGTTTCATTCGTCGGTTTTGAAACCAAATTTTTACTTGAGTTTCGTTCAATTGAAGAACGTTTGCAATTTCTATACGACGCGCTCGGGTCAGGTATTTGTTGAAGTGAAACTCTTTCTCCAATTCCGTTAGCTGTTTGGTAGTAAAATTTGTTCTTCCTGGCCCATTGGTCGTTGACTGTTCTCCCCCAGGGCCGCAACTACCAGGTCCTAGCCTGTTGTATTCGTGGACCGACTTGTGGCCTGTTATTAAAAATAACGTATGTGTGATTTCAATTTATATTTATAAAAAAATATTAAATATTAACAAGATTGATTTCGATTTTTCTTTATAGTTTCAGAGAGTTTTTATATTAAAATACAAAATATGTTAACTTTAGGTTATTTTAGGGCAACCAACATTCATGAATATATTACACATCGATAATTTCTTAAGAGTTTCAACCTTTCATTCTTTACAATTTTGAACAAAAAACAAACATAATTTAGATAATTTAAAAATAAAAGGAATTTTACAAAAACACAGTTAAACGCACATCCAACACTGTATAGCGCGTACGAAAGGCAAAGTGGAATGTAGCATAAAAATACCTGAAATACAAAAAATAACTAAAGTTATAAATATTTTTACTGATAAATTCTAATTTATTTCGTAATTTTTGGAATGACGTATAGCAGTTTGGGTGCATCAACTTGTTCTTGTTTAAGAATAGTTTTGCGTGTTATAGTTTAAAAACTGTGTTGATTGCCATAGTTTAAGAGCTTTTGTGCTTGTCATAGTTTAAGAACTGTGTTGACTGCCATAGTTTAAAAAATGTGTAGATTGCCATAGTTTAAGAGCTGTTGTGCTTGCCATAGTTTAGGAACTATGTTGATTGCTATCATTTGGGAACTGTGTTGTTTGACACAGTTTAAGAACGTTGTTGTATGTTACTGTTTAAGAACTGTCTTGATTGCCATCGTTTAAGAGCTTTTGTGCTTGTCATAGTTTAAGAACTGTGTTGACTGCCATATTTTAAAAAATGTGTAGATTGCCATAGTTTAAGAGCTGTTGTGCTTGCCATAGTTTAGGAACTATGTTGATTGCCATCATTTGGGAACTGTGTTGTTTGACACAGTTTAAGAACGTTGTTGTATGTTACTGTTTAAGAACTGTCTTGATTGCCATCGTTTAAGAACTGTGTTGCTTGTCATAGTTTAAGAACTGTGTTGATTGCCATAGTTTAAAAACTGTGTTGATTGCCATAGTTTAAAAACTGTGTAGATTGCCGTAGCTTAAGAACATTGTTGCTTGTCATCGTTTAAGAACTATGTTTGATTGCCATCGCTTGGGTACTGTGTTGCGTAGTGAATTGTGTTGCTTGCCATAGTTTGATAGTTGTGTTGCTTTTTTCGTAATTTAAGAACTGTGTGTTTGTAATAATGCTAGAACGTTGTTGCTTCCCACAGTTTTAAAAAATAAATCGAAATAGTTCTAGTCATATTCACAGCTATGTATATTAATTCATTCAGTATTTCAATTATTCAATCTTATGCAATTATAAACCTTTCATTCGTGTAATTAATTGTTAATTCCATACCAGCATATAATCCAGATAGCTTAACATATCGTTTTAATTACAAAAGTACAAAACATTTCATCCAGCTTATCGAATGATTAGAAAAGCTGGTACTAGAATAAAAAACAGAACATCAAAATACATATGACCATATAAAATACATTTCGAAAACATGCCCCATATAAGACTCTTCCATTTACATTACTCTCACTGTGCGTATTCTCGCAGATATACCTGTCCTCTGTACTGACGGTGAGTGTATGTGTTGGTAACAGAACATGCATTCAACCAGCCTGATGAAATGCTACGGTTCATTAGAATGATAGAAACGAATGCTTAATATACGATTGGATAAAACATTTATTTTGTCAACCACCAAATTGTTAAACTGAAACCAAGACAATTTTATATCACGAGTGATTCAGAAGGAAGATTAATTGACGGGTGTATTAAAATCCCATTACTGGCTGTACGTCTGCTATCAAAAGCACGTGATAAGCCTGTAAACATATAGACCGTTGTAAACCTGACAAGTCAGATCGATAAGACGCGCAATTAAAGAGCATATATGCATGCTTATATTTATGTGTGTGTATGTGTGTGATTGAATATCTAAAATTACATTTTCTTTTACTAATTCAGAACGCGAAAAATAGTTTTGATCTATCATAACCGAGCAAATAAAGATAAGTGCAAATGGTTGTATATAACCATTATGTTTGTGCGAAAGTTAGCTAGAACATTAAAACAATATATATACGTCTATTATACTAAGCCGTAACTATTTTGTGTATCAAGAAATTTTGTTGTCACTGTTCAGAAATATTAAAACTGTCCCTCCCACCGATGGCTCAGCAATAAATTTAAGGGCTAATAACGCTTAAATTCGATTTCTAAGGTTGGGACGTTATAGAAGTTCACTGTGCAACGTTTCGCTTAGCAACAGCAGCAAAAGAACTAATAGTTACAGAAGTTGAGTAGCTTATATTAAAACGATTTTCAAGCATCTCCATGTCGTTACAACGAACATCATCGCGTCCGGTCGTGCCTTGCCTAACGACTAATCATCCTTACAATAGTTCCGCTACGAAGTTTTCATGACAAAAAGCTCCGTTGTAAGGTTGACATGTCCAAAGCACACCATTTTTCCCTGCTGGCTTTACGCATTCAATCTTGTGCACGAGGAAAGTGATTTCCCAGTGCCCGTTTCTACGCTACGTCCACACAAAAATCCATAGGCGACTTGACCGGTATGTCATCGTACGAAATAGCATGAATATCCATTTCATTCTCCAGCTGTTTAATGTATGCAACGATCGGACGGATATGCCGTGGAATGAACTTATGTACACATGACTTATGTTGCTTTTCCAGACAAGATACTTCTTGCGTATGTTGCGTGCTGTTGCCTAGAGCACGTGAGCGGCTTGTGTCACTAACCTTTGGTTTCTTGGATTTTCATCTATTATAAGATGCTGTACTTTGGAAACCACGGCAAGGTTGCAGGTTTCTTTCTGGATGTTCCTGGTATCCCAAGTTGATCCATATTTTGTTTTTATCTTCCAATACCATTAAGTATAAGGGATATTCAAATCTTGGAAATTCTGAATCCCCAATTGAACATGCCTTTATGATCTGTGCGTATGAATATTTTGCCCTGGAAAGGGATGTTACATACTCTTTCCCAAAACCATCAGTTTTTGGTTGCATCACCACTATCTACGAAACGCCGAAACAATGTCGAGATGTAGTTCTGACACATTCCGTTCCATCGCGACTTTATTTCGTCTGCAGTTATTACGTGACTTGCTGATTTTCATATTTGAAATGGTTCTGATATAACCTACTCAACCCTCTATACTAACGACATGTAGTAAACTGTGTTTCTGTATCCTCTACTGACAATACCGTTAGACTGATATGAACAAAGTCAAAATAAACATGGTGCGATAAGAGAAATATAACACAATAAATACCTAATTGTGAAATATATAAGCTTTGTAAGAATATTAATGCATTTTTCGAAAATGTAAATATATCACTATTTTGAATTTCACAACAAAGAAACAGTTTAAGTTCTTCTTACTGAACCTAGATGAGGGTTAATCGAAAGTGTTCTGTGTAAAACTTACAATTAGTGATGAATGGACACTATAGAAATTTAACTAAACTTTGAGAGGCCATGCAAAAATTTAAATAATATATTTGGTCGTGTAATTATATATATGTTGTTTTGTGCTGCAAACTTGGTATAATATTCTCGATTAAGTGATCGGTAACATTATTTAATTTATATATTTTATTAAAACAAATTAACATTTACTGAAAAGTCCCTCACCATTATAAAAATTACTGGAATGGTTTATTTTAGGCACATGTTATTATCATAATACAAACTTACTTTGCGTTTTAAATTAGAATAAAGTTTATTGGTCTTTTCTTAAGAAACATTATCGAAAAAAAAATAGCAGAGAGTTTTTTCACATACATCGTAACACTTGAAAATGTACAAGATATAAGACATCCTTCAGCGAGAATCATTCCATTCTCTCAGAATGATATTATAGTCAACTTTGTAAAACCAAAAAGCGGCCCCCCAGTGGCACAGCGGTATGTCTGCGGACTTACAACGCTAGAAACCGGGTTTCGATACCCGTGGTGGGCAGAGCACAGATAGCCCTTGTGCAGCTTTGTGCATACTTAAAAACAAACAAACTAAAAAGCAACCACTGATCCTTTAATTATCCTTTCTAGCTACTAATGTTATTTATAAAGCAGCTACAAGTGTAAAGTTTATAGTTTTAGTTACTATATCAAAAAAAGATTACACAAAGCAGTTTTCTTATTGTTCTTCCTCTTCTTTAGAGCAATAGGTACAATAACATATATATATATATATCTTTACATATATTTTTAATTTGGCATAATAGCTTTTGATGTGCGGCTGTAGTAACTTTATGAAATATTACTCTGAATGAAAATTACTAATATTATCACCTCCATAATAATGTATCACGACCCGTAACTCGATGTCTACGTCTATATTTCCAATTTCTTCGAGAGTCAAGTATCAGGGTGTAGCTAACATTACAGAGTGGGAAGGGAGTCTTCTTCCAAAAAACAAATGGGAATTTTTTTTCTACAAAAAGAATTTAAGTGATTTACATGAAAGTCAAGTTTTTATTTTTAACACGTCCCTCAGGAGCCAAGGGGTGTCTTTACATTACAATATGTTGAATATTAAGAGTAAGTTCAATCCGGAAACTCCCAAAGAGGGTGGTTTTGGACGTATCTTTTCGAGATAACTTCGAGACAAGTTTTCGTTTGTTAATTGATAACTTTTTAAGTGAAATGCATCATCCTCAAGTCTCCGTATCAGTTAGTACTAAAGTCTACCCACTGGGAGTAAATTCAGTATATATCATTAAAGTCACATTCTCAGCATCATTAATTAAGCAGTTGCCAACCTTTCATGCTTCTGCTATCACCTTTTTATGTTTAGCTTTCAATTGAGATATAAGCGATTTCACTGCCATTCGGTAGGATGGTCGCAGCATCACGATAGTCAGCAGTAGGATGTGCAGACAGGTACACTTTGAAAGCAGTTACAGGTATAATATTTACTCGGCTCGATGCACAATATTTACCAAGGTGGTTCTAAACGGTTCCTGAATACCTCTTCGT